CGTATTATATTAACTTCAATGTTACCCAGTCAACTCATTTGAAAACTCAAAGTCAAAATTCGCCTACAAGGTTGGTATCATTCGAACCCCAGTATAATGCTAAGCCAACTATCCTCCCGCTACTTCTGCCCTCGAGACGTGACGACAATGCCTTCACACACACCTCATTCACATATGTATATGTTTTACCTTCCTTTCAGAACGCCTTCATAGTATTTCCATCTCATGCAACCCACCAAACAACATTCTATTTCCTTGGCAATTCCCTGAACACCTTTCTGAAGATCAGCCGACTATTGTACAGATTATTAAGCCTGATTCTTTCGTTGTCTGTTCATGTCAATAATAATCAGCAAAGTTCTTGGAGATTATAACTTTCCCACTTAACCCTTCAAATCCTTGACAGCTGGCCAAGATGAGGAAATGACTTACCTAAATGCGCACTATCACTCGCTTGTCCACACGGTAAATGCGCCGCTGGCGCTCCGAACTCCTTTTCCAAGAATCGAATACTTGGAATCGAACCTCCTTCTCTGATATAGAGCGGCTTCCTCCCCATGCCTCTCACACTTCCATCACCCAATCCCTTTCCTTCTTTTTTTTTACTAACTACCTTGCCGCCTTCAACTCCGTACCCTTCATTTTCTTTCTCGTTGCGGCTATTGGAAACATCTTCCGCGTCTAGTGTTAAGGATGCAAGATCTACCGGTGCAGCCGCTAAACTCGTATGATCACTTCCGCCAGTTAAACTCGTAGTTGTCGCAGGTGTGGGTTTAAGACTTGGCGATGCGCTGACAGGGCTTGTGGGTGAGTTTTCCTTCTCCTTCTCAACATATTTAGGACCTTGTACACTACTCCTTCTCGTATGGTCCGTAATCGGTCCCCAGACCTCCATGATAGCCTCTTCCAACGTCCTAAAAATCTCATTTTCGGGATCACCGAGCCAAGCATCTGCTTGGTTATCAATAGTAATTGTGAGGTTGTTGTGCGTATCAAGCTTTGCGAAAGCATCTTGAAGAAATTTTGTCAAAGATTTAATAACATCGTCGACTTCCTGGTTGGGAACCAAACGAAGGGAGATAGCTGCGCTCGCGTGGGACGAAACCAGAGAACCATCTGGCCCGGAAACTTTATAGCGATGGACAGTCAGGTTTGGTTCTCTCCATCTAGCCATAATGGATTGTTTCAGAGTGGTCGCCGGTCCGAGTTCTGGATTACGACGGAGGAGGGTCGATACAATATCATCGTAACGAGCTTCCTCGGCTGGTGTGAGTGGAAGAATATCATCATAAAATCCAGGAATTTGAATCCTGTTATGCAGCCCCTTTAACTTTGCGAGGATAGCTGTCAAATCAAAGAGTGGTTCATCCATCATAAAACTTCCATCAACTCCACTATGGACATCGGGATGCTTGCTATTGACTTTAACAGTAGCATGAAGAACACCTCTGAGGCCATATGTCAAGCAAGGCACTTCATCATCGAGCCAATAACTATTGGCAAGAATGATATAATCAATGTCCCCAATCAATTCTTTATACTTTCTCACAGCATCCTTGAAGCCTCTTGATCCACTCTCTTCTTCTCCCTCAATCAAAAATGTAACGTCAGAATCCAAAGCCTTCTCATGAACCAAATCAACAACTCCATACAGAGCAGCCATAATTGGACCTTTATTGTCACTGACTCCTCTTCCATAGAGGTATCCATTTACCCCCTTCATTTGGAAAGGATCGATAATCCATTTCTTTTGCTTATCATCCGCGGGAACAACATCATAATGTCCATAGAACAAGATCTTCTTCCTCTTTCCAGCAGTCTCCGGGTTTCCCTTGAACTTGGCGTAAACAATTGGGTTATGATGAGCTTCAGTTGTTAACATCTCAGTGACAGCTCCATGTTTCTTAAACAATGTTCTCAAAAAGGTAGCACCTCGTCGACAATCCTCGGCATGATCAGGTCGTGCAGAAATCGTCTTGAAAGCCACAAAATCTTGCAATGATTTGATAAGTTGGTCATCTTGAAGTGACTCGCGTTTTGGGTGTGTGCCCGTATTACATCCAGTAACATCCCATATCGAAACGGAAGAATCGTTCGCACCAGTTATATAAAGTTGTTGACCATTATGGGTAGCAACTGCGGAAGCCAAAATCCTACCTCCGTGAGCTTTCCATCGTTTGACACACTGATATTTTTGACTGAAATTCGAGGAAGTTTTGTATTGACCATATTGTACCGTGCTGTATTTCTGCAAAATGTTAGCCACTTGTACGACATAAATGCACAGAAAACAGGAGAATCAAACTCACTCTAGCATGCCCGGTACTTCCACCACTCCAGAGGTATCCCCATCCCATCTGTAAAGTCATAACATCCCCCCTATTTGCTCTGATGACTCTCAGCTTCTGTCTCGTATCTAGATCCCACAACTCAATCACTCCCTCCAATTTGCTACTGTAGAGAAAACTTCCGTCCACCGCCAGACTCAGAACACTCTCCGCATCGTCTTCCCCTAGTTTTTCAATCTCCTTAATCCCCTCGTCTTCATCCTTGCTCAATTTCCACAACTTAATTGTACCGTCCCCTCCGCCTGAAATTAGCATATCCTCATCCGCATCAACCTGCCTCGAGACTCCTCGAACCATGAGCATACAATAGACATATCCAAAGTGAGCATATTGTTTCATATGTGCCTTGTCAATCTCCAATACATCTCCCTGATCCGCAGCGGCTCTTCCAGCCGGCCTTGGTCTTGGTGTGCTTGTCCCTCCATGTTGCACACTATCGAAAAATCGATGATTCCTCCTATCTGGGTGACGTTCTGGATTTGGTGTAGGTCTCGTCGCGGAATCCCTTAGACTAACCCATTGTATACTCGTGTTTTGAGCTCCCAAATACACCGTTTCGAATTGCGGGGAATAGGCTACCGAAAATACATCGCCGACGTCGTAGGTACTGTAAATATGGTATTTGCGGACTAAAGTGGTAGGACACCATGCATTGACAATGGCATCACCAGCAGATGAGAACAAAAGCTTTCTATCTGCAGATAGGAATAGTGAGAGTACACTGCGGGTGTGTGCTTGGATGCGCGAAACGAGCTCGTAGGATGCGAGGGACCAAACAACTATTTCTCCATCTTGGGTACCGGCATAAATATATTTTGAACCTACAGCAAGAGTGAGGATCGAGGAATCATTTTCGAGGTGGTGGAGAAGTTGAGGAGATGAGGGGTCGAGGTCATCTTCAGAACTGGTTCGTTGGCTAGGATCGTGGGACAATGAGTCAATTTGATAATTTTCGTCTTCAGTGCTAGCTAGAAGATTGTTAGTTGTTGGCGAGATAGAATTATCTGTTTGTGAAGATGTAGCCGTCGCTGAAGAATGAGTGTTTGCGTTTCTTGAACCAAAGATTGAGGTCATCTTTTAGTTGATGATTGGAGGGGAAGAGGGAGGGGGGGGGGGAGTAAGCAAAAGAATTGGAACTATTGCTAGGTTGATGAGCGTAAAGTAGTGACCGACCGACCGACCTCAGCCCGAATTTCAACCCCAGCATGTTGGTTGGTGAACCACAAACCACACGCCAACCAAAAGTTCGCGATGCGAATTTGATATGATGAATGTTTTTAGGAAAGATAGGAAAAAACGAAATAAAAGAGAATACAAGAAGAGAGCTTGGAAGAATTATTCACTCACCATGACTTTCAACATCACTATCTTCCTCCCTTTCCCAAGCTTCAATTGCTTCACGTTGCTGGATATCAATACCGGGGCCGCTCTCACCAACACACCCAATCTCCTTGGGACTATCCATAATTGAATTCATCCTCGCACAACAATTCCACCTCTCCAAATCCAAATCAATATCAGTATCAATATCAGGATCAAAGTATCGATAGTATTGATTTGTATTCTGGTACTCGTATGTATTCTTATTTGTCGGTACACCTTCAATACTTTGTTTCTGTCCCGACGGTATGTGTGTATCTTTTTCATATATTAGATTTGATGTCGAGTTCACGTTTCTGTCGCTCTTCCCGTCAATCGTGAAAAGGGAGGTTGCAATGAGAGATCCCATATTGTAAAAAGAATTGTTATACAACTGTATTTGGTTTTGATTCCATTCAATTCAGGTAAATCACACAATTCAAACGGGTAATTGGATAATGTTTTTGAAGGAGGATTGCGTAACTTTTAATCACTATTACGCCTTTGAAAATAACTGAGACCGAACGCGCATTCCTAGGAGGCACACTTCACTCGTAAGGGGGTGACTTAACTTTATAGAAGTTTCCTATATATCAACACTTCGCTCCTTTCCTTTTTCCCCTTTTCTCTTTCCCCTTATAACCTTTACCCAAGCTCTCAGCATCTCTTACCCTACATCTTGACTCATGTGGATTGGTGTCTCTTAATGAGAAATTGGAAAAGCAATATGCATTGGCTACCACTTGCCCGTGCCGCATAAGGGATCCATATCTATGCGACCTCACTGTTTCTCCTACTTCTTCTTTATTTGTACCCAATCTGTGTCATGCGTTGATGCTACACCGCATTATTAGGTCCTCGCCGTACGCATTGCCCGCATAAGCTAAGTGGTCATCCTAACGTGTTAGTACATTCAAGTGATAGATTTGGGTGGTACAAGTTCAGCCTTGGAACGTGGCTGGCTGTCGCTGTACTCCCCTCTTTGTAAAAGTATCTATCATTATGTAACGTCGAGACACTTTTCATCCTTGGCCGATTGTTTGTTCTTTGCGATTTTTGGCGATAGATGACTCAATCGATGTATGATAGAGCAGAGGAGTCAGTAAATTAATGATATGAGTGATCGAATATAGTCATTATCGATATTACTCTATATTTGTAAGTATCCATGTATTTAATGTAAACCATCTGTCTGTCTCTCTTCCACGTCTATCCATCCACATAATTTATACATCACACCAAGAAGTACAGAGCGAGACCAAGGAACTTCACTTAATCCAGCCAACACCGAAAATGTCCGCTAGAAGGAAAGAATTCCATCAAGGAGCTTCCTGCGAACTATACCACACGAACTTGTCTTTCCAAGAAGATCTACAGCCATCTTTCGGCCCATCCAGATCACCCAATCCAAGCCAACCTTGCCCTCCTCGACATATAGGCTCCTGCTTTGAATCACCGAATCCAGATGATTCTTGCACTTATCCTAGAGACTGTTCCGAACCGGAAGACTATTCGCACCCCAACAACATTTGTCCGCCACGATGTATAAGATCTTGTATTCGAAAGAAGAATCAAGATGGTTTATACAATTATCTTGGAGCGTGTGACGAAGAATCAGCGATTGATGATGATGCTCCAGGAACACGAATTCCTATAATCATCCCAAATACCGCCAGAGACATGAATGATGAACGGCATTCACATAGCCAAGTTCAAGATGATGTCTATTTCCCACTGCCAATTCGTGCGGATTAGCGTCGCAAAAATCATCGCATCAGCCAAAATGACGAGGGGGGAAATGTACCGCAGCCACCATCTTGCTCCTCATCTAATAACCCCCATTGTCCACCTCAGAATCCATTCTACAACGGCTCCAATGACCAGATTGATCTACTGACCGAGATACATAGACTTCATGAACGAATTGGTTTACTGGAGAGCAACATTCCGGGACATGTGGAAACGACAGCTTATTGTTGATGCAGTTGCCATAGGTCAACACGACCTATGACTCCTCCACCGGATAATTATTGGCACGAAAACGAGCCACAACTATTTCCAGATCCAAGAAATGATTGGGATGAAAGTGGTGAGCCTGGTTTTTCCACTCCAGTAGTGTGAAATTAGAGTGCTCGAGGTGTTGAAAATTCGATGAGAGAGATTCTATCAGGTTTGAGGGAAGTGCGTCCTAATGAAATCCGCGATCTCCAAGTTCTTCTTGAACGAAATGTTGGTCTGGGCCTACCTCAAGGTATTTGAGGAGAGATAAGCCGATGTGCGCAGTAGGACGAATGAGGTTTAAATAGTTTGACGAACATAGAATGAATAGCCGTATTGTTCTAATCTCAGTCCACCCACCAAATGTGATTCGAACTCATATCAATTTCTAAAAATTAGATTTAATTCGCCAAAGTCACCTGTCATGTCCAGGCTATAGATTGTATCCAAACTACCTCACTCATTTCTCTCTCCCTTGTCCTCATCTTTACCCGGCCATAAAACTTGCTTCAAAACCACAGCTCTAATATGCGCCGCAAAGACGAGCAACCAGACAATTACGAGAATAATTGTTAATCCACTTCCTACCCAAAGCACGCCCTCACTTTTGAATGCTTTCCCGATATTGATGATAACAATAGTAAATCCCACATTTGGAAAAACGAAAGCATACCACACAAGATGGAAACTCATCTCTTTTGCACCCGCCAAAACAGACACCATTGAAATGCAAAAGAACCAAAATGCTGTAGCCCATAAGAATACTGCAGCAGAGACTGCAATAATTCGGAATATGTCGGCAATGATATCTGGGTTCGTGATTGACGATATGGTAGTATACGCCGGGTATATTTTGGAGAAGTTTTCACTCATGCCCAACAATGCTAACCCAGTAAAACTAGGTGGTCCAACTGCAATAAACATTCCCGGTCTCGTGTTGGGTTCTGGCAATCCATTTGTCATCAACCTTCCAATATAAGGTCCATACATGAAGACCGCGACAAAAATTCCCAATCCTTGAAACGTAATTCCAGCAACCAGCATAGGAAGTGCGTGTTCAGGAGTTTGTGATCCTGTTGTAACGGAGGCGAGGGTCCCGCAAAGCATAACTGGAAAGATAGGAAGAATCCAGGCGGGAGTCATGGACTGAAGCGTTTGTTGTTTGGCAGCAAAAAGATAGCAATATTGACCGACAGCACCAAAGAATGTAAGGGCCGTATAGATCCAGAATATGACTCGGAGAGCGGTGATGAGCCATGGGCCACAGTGGGGAACGCCATATAATTGCGTGTTTGCAATTATACTCAACAAAGAAATCCAAAATGTTGGGAAAAAGAGGGATTCGGTAGCATCTTGCAATGAGGCAGAAAATGCCTTTGGATATAATATGAATCGTGCCGAAATTCCAGAACATAAGAGAACGAAAAGACATAAATCCAAAATGAAAATAATGTCCCCCAAGATAGTTAGGCCATTGAATTTGTGTGGTGTATTTGCGAGCAATAGAGCAATTCCTCCAGTGCTCATAGTAAGAGTAAACCACGCCCATGTAAAATGATGAATCCTCTCTTGAAATGTGATTTTGCCATTGTTGGCAACTGTCAACTTTTCGTTCGTGGCATGGGGAGTTCCGTCACTATCCTTGAAGATATTATCAGTTTGTCCTTCGAGATCATTCGTGGAATACGTCCGAAGATTAACATCCCGATTCGGACGGTGAGTAGACATAACTGGCGGTTTATTCGATCTAAACAGATGTGCCAATGTGTTGTGAAGCTGACGATGATAGAAAGCACATTCTCGCCGAAAGAAGATGCAAGCTATGAGATGGAGCTTTTGATGGAGACCAATAATGTTTTCAGTCCAGATACATTAATTATCTGCAAGCACCTAGAGACATCGACAACTTGTCGTCATTTTTATGTATGTATTTGTCACAAAACAGTTGCGGTATCGAGCTACTCTCAACCTACTGATTCAAACAGAGTAAGGAAAGCAAAAAGCAAAAAGAAAAATCATCAAAATACATAATTGCACCGAGACCTTTCCACACTGACGTATGAAAAGACGGAGATATAACCGTGCGTTGGCAGCTGATTAATCTCCAGTCCTACTCACGTGATACTCTCTCGAGCTCTACAATCATGAATCATGATATTGGGTGTTTGAACATAATCTGATCCCTTGACTGTTTTTGTACTCGTGTGTGTGTTATTCATACCTACCTACCTAGGACCGATGTTTCGGTTGATGATGGGTTTGTCTGTTCTGTCTGGCTGTCTTTGTGGTCTTGGCTGAACGGGCCCATAGATCACACATATCAAAAGTTGGGTTGGAAACACCGCACTAGCAGAATTAAGCAACGAAGTACCCGGTACCTTTAGCTGTTAGAGCGAGAGAGATGAATATGATGCAATCATTGATCGAAGCATTAACGTGGTTTAACACCGAGTGCACCATATCACCGAATACATCACTTTTATCTCAATTTACATTCTCCAATTTCAACACGCGATTTATCAATCATTTATTATGTAATCAACGAGAAAAGAAGCTCAAATACTTTTAGTTATTGAAGTTATTCGAAAAGATAAAAAGTTTAGTATTTGTAAGGTTGTTAAGCTATATAATATAATATATATAATACTTCTTTGTAGAATAAAAGGCTTGTCCTTTTGTATGGAAATTCGAGTGAATAGTTATAAGATTATTTATTTATTTATTTTTATTTATATTAATTAACATCTGTTTTGGACCTCCCGAAGGGTATTTAGATGTGCCAGGATAAAGAGTTACAAATATAGAAGAGTGCTGATGTATATACTAATAAAACCTCAAAGAGAAAACCCAATTTCTTTTATATCATTTGAATCTAACAGTTTAATATCAATAAAAGGAGCTGTTCGTTTTTTTACGATTACAATTATTGAGCTTGGAGTAATTGCCTTAGAGATTGATTTGAAGAAAAGAATAATAGGTTTAATAAGTGAATTTGGTTTTGTGTTTTCCTTTATAGTTAATAATCAGGGGAGTGTGTATGAAGGACTATCATAAAAGGATTCAATTCTACCTTAGAATCTAAAACTAAAAAAGGAAGAAAAGAATAAAAAAAGAACTGTAAGGACTCCGGATTATATATACCAATAAATCACATACTAGACTAAGATCCTAGAAGCTAAGTGATTGAGAAAGAAACCTAAAAGGGACTAAATCATTACATTACCCCCCCATCTGAAAAAAACTTGCCCTCAAACACTTATCCATCTCCTTATCTCCAATAATATTATTATATTCATCATCACCATCTTCATAGTGTTTCAGCCATTGAAATAATACCTTAAACAAGCCAGAAAGATCTTGATTAACTAGATAATACTCTTTGAGTTTGTAAAAAAAGTATTTGAAGTTATCAGTAACATATCAGGTAAGGTCAATATTGTAATTACGCCATTATACTCGATAGTAAATACTATTACGAATACTCTTCGAAACTATGATTTGTTCGATTTTCCATTCTTCTTTATTAATAATATTGATTAGAGGGTTAGAATCGTTTATTTGATTAGGAAAAAGGTTATTCACAGCTTTTCATAACTTTTCAGTTGGGAATGTATTGAAAATTTTCATTATATCTAATAGCACTAGTTTAAAGAAATGCCCTACCTTTTCGATAATAAGGAACTTGTTGTTTATTAGAAAATCTAGCTTTTTTAAAAAACGCTCAATTCAATAATATCGCATATCAAGCTATACAAAATCACCTACTTTGAAATCGATAGATCATCAATACACATTAATCTTAAGCTAAACTCTTTCTTAAATATCTATAAAGTGTTTTATAGCAAATTTCCATACATTATAATATTGTTGAGCTATAATACAGGCTTTATCTATATTAAACTTATCCTTAGTTTCGGTATTATAGAATTTCCAATCCCAAAAGATTTATAGGAAATAGCTATATACAACTTCAAATGAAGAAATATTATTAAGAGAATTATAAAGTAAGATAAACTGTATGTAATTTATCATTGGTAAGAGCTCTAATCAATTATCTTGATAATAGAAAATGAAGAATTGGAGTTTCTTTTGAAAATACTGATTATAAATCTCAGTTTATTTATCAATTTGAAAGTAATCTATAATTGAATAACTAATATTAGTATTTAGATTCTTTTGAAATTCTTTTCAAAAACTTAATATGAATTAGGATTTATAATTGGATATTATGAAAAAAAAAGAATTGAAATAGTAATAAATATAATAAATATATAATTTGACTATTATAATTAAATCAATTGTTTTTTTGTAAAGAATAAAAATAGTTTATTTGCTAAATTGATTAATAATAATAAATATATTATTATATTTATATTTATCTTTATTAAAGCTATAATAATTTATAATAATATATTCTCAGGATTGGCTTAATATTAGCAATGGGTGTAGTAAGCTAGGGGTTTTGTTTTGGGGGATATTTATTTTGTAATAAGTATTGTAATTTTGATAATATTGAATTACTATTTGAAAGATTTTTTGCTAGTAATAGCGATCGGTTAATAACTTTAGGGTTTTTTGGATACCTGGATATGTAATAGAGATATTATTATGGGCTTCTCGGATTAAGAGGATATAAAGGTTATTTATATTAGAAATCATTAGTTTGTTTTTATATAATAGCAGTTTATTTTCAAGACTAAAGTAATTATTGTCTTTCTATATTTATTTCTGTAAGGTTTTCAAAGAAGAAGTATAGC